TTTTTTTTTTTTTGGTTTCCTGAAGTTTAAAGGTGTAGTCGGCTTAGTTGTTTCTTTGTGGGTACTGCTGCCTAATTCTACGACCTTATGGATGCAAAAAAGCTAAATACCAATTTTATGTGCCTTCTTTATTTTTTATTTTTTTTTTTTCATTTTTGCTGGGAAAAAAAAATTTACTCTTGGTTTGCCTTAGTTTTGATATGAAGGATACGCTGTCAATCAAGGAAATTCAACCTCATGTTAGGAGGTGGACAGCATTGGTTCAGGTGGTTGACAAGGGCCACGTCTCTGTGAGCCAAAATGATTCGTCCATCTCCTACTGCCGCTTTCTATTTGTAGATGCTGAGGTAGATATTTTCTCTCCGGCCACATTGATTGTCTTATTTTGTACTTCGCAACAGTGCAATAACATTTTGTTCTTTTCTGTTTCTATGTTTCAATGTTTTTTTTAAAAGGGAACAAAGGTTTCTGCGGTCGCATACAATAACAACATAAGAACAAACGCCGCCCTTTTGGTTCCATTCAAATGGTGCTATGTTTCAGGCGCCACACTAAAAAAGGTTGAGAAGAAATATCTGGTGGGTGATTATATCTATTCTTGGACAATCAACAACAACACTTTAATCCAACCTTGTGAAGAAAAGATGCCTGCCCAACTGGTTTTCTCTGTGGACCTGCAGGAGTACAAAAAACTCCACTCTTTTGCTGACACTGATAATTTACAGAGTATGTTTGCTTTTTTGCTTTTTTCATGCTTCCTCTGCAATATTAGTTTATCTGTGTGCATGCATTTACGGTTGTTATTTCAGTACAAATGCATGCATGTTTTTCATGAATAAGTGCTCAATTATGGTGTGTTTTGTAGATGTGATGGGTGTGGTCGTGCACTCTTTCCCATCCAGACAGATTGGTGAAGACTCGGTCACTAGAGAAATAATCCTTGTCAATGAGGAGTATGTTTTTCTTTTGCTTTAAACATTATGGAAAAATTCTTTTTTAGGCCAAACTTTTTTATGCCAACATTCATTCTTTAAATACACTGTTCAGAAAAATACCGATCATGTTCACCCTCTGGAATGATTTTGCTACAAATGAAGGATCGCAACTTGCAAATAACATTCACTCAGCAAATATTGTTTTGGCTCTGAAAGTCAGAGTCACAACGTTTAATGGTATGCGTAATGTGTTTTTGTAAGGGTGTGCCTTGCCTTTAACACTTTTTTTTTTTTGTTTTCTTTCTGTGCTTGAAAACATTTCTCAAATTTACCTGCAGGGATTTCTTTGTCCACTAGAGCTCCAAGCGCGATATTAATTAATCCTCCAATGGATGCAGCAGTTGAGCTTAAGCAATGGTTGGCACTAAGACTTTAAAAACTTTTATAATATTTTTTTTTAAAAACATTCAAAGTGAGTTTATGGCTTTTTATAGGTATTCCCAGCACAAAAATGAGATTGACGATATGATTGGAAGGGCTGCGTACAAAGACACCACTATCCTGCTGCCTTATCCATCAACAGACAACGTTCTCTCGGTGCACACCATGCTTAGTGGCGTTAATAATGTTAGTTCATATTTCATCTCAGAATAACACATAAGATGTATTGTTTATTAGGTTTTAATTGCCTTTTCTGCGATACTTATGAAAAACAATTGTGGGGTACGACAGGTTCGAGCAGCGTGGATTAAGGGTTGTGTGACTCTGCCACATATTCAACAGTCGCTGTGGTTTAGTGCATGTGCCAGCTGCCATAAGAAATTTGACTTGCAAACGAGCTCAGCCATTAGGTGCAGCTCTTGCAGTCAAAACAGCATGATAGAAGCTAGGTAACACTTAATGTTCATGTATAGCCTAGAGATGTAATCTCTTTATAGTTTGTTCAGCTTATACGGTTATTCTTGGTTTTTATGTGCTCTAGAGCTAGGATCCCTTTGGAAATCGCTGATGGCACTGGAATACTTTCGGCTGTAGTATATGGAGAGGATGCGGAAAGACTTATTGCTTACACAGCACAACAGCTTCAGACAGCAGAGGATAAGGTCCAGTTTTATAGAAAAATAAATATAGACTTTAGTTATTTTCTCCATGCATGTTTTATACTTCTTTGCTTGCTGCGACTATTTAACGTACTCTTTTGCTGAACATGAAATGTTATAAGAGGTTGTTATGGATTTGTTTTCATGTGTGGTACATTGTAGAATGTTGTTTGCCTAAATATTATCAGCCTTTTCTTTGGGGGGGAGCTATGGAATTTCGAGTTAATATTCTATGGAAACTTCCAAATTCACAGCGATATGTGCACTTTTAGCCAGTTGTATTTTTACAGCATGTTATATTTGTCAAGCCTCTACCTACGTGAACATTTATTTGTTTTCCCGTGTACATAGAGAACCTTGTTATAATGGAGTAATATAACATAGGGTTGTTTAGTTCGAATAACATGTCTTGTGTACTTCAACTTATTAATATAGAAATTGTTTTGTAGTGTGGGATGGCTTTATTTATTAATGAAAAAATTACATGGTTTGGCAAAATTAAGGGATCGTGCGTAGTAGTTTTCCAATGTGCACATTCAATTGTGAAGAGTTCCAGTGCATCTATAATTTAGCAAATTTCTAACAGGGTGCTGATTTCGTAGCAACGATTCGCTCTGCCATATGCGGAAAACATGTTGTATGCTTTGTGAGGGTCTTTCAGGCTGCTGGCCCCACGTACTCGGTTGTGAAACTTTATACAGATGGGGATGTAGCCAGCCTCGAGCTGCAACCTTCATCTTCTCGTGCCAACATTGCACAATTGAATAAACCTTTAGATGCGAATGACAAAGGCGTGGAGTTGGATAACATAGAGGCTGAGGTGCTTACCAATTATTTGTTTTTCAAAGTATCCTAGAAAAATAAAGATTTTGTCCTACCTGCCACACACATTTATTAACATTTTTTTCAGGATGAAGTGGAAACCCAATTGTTTACGCCGTCTGCTAAAGCATGCCTAGAAGCTATTCTTGATGAGCCTACAACCATGTCTACACCAAAAGAATCCAAGTCAACCGCTGTTCGTTCTCTCCTCTTTGAGAATCCTGAAACTACTGCAGAATCTTTGGTTGCTACAGACACACACAATGCTCCTGATGTCCACGCGGCCTACATAAGAACTGGGAAGAAGAAAATGTCTGTAAGTCCTGCTAAGAAGCCGCGCACTGAGGAATGAAATTTAATCACCCCTTTTGTTTATGTATTGTGTAATTGTTATGGAACCTATCAAGTACTCTTAATAGATCTAAGTCTTTCTAACTATTTTGGATGACATTGTGCTTTTCTTTTGCTGCCCTTCTTTTGGTTTCAGCTTAGAATTCTTTAAGCATATCATTAGATTTGCTTGGTGGATTCTAAGATGTTAGGTTTCATGGGCTACATATGCTTTGAATGCGCGTGTGCGCTATTTTGTAATGCAACGAATTTTCATTGTTTCTAATGTATAAAGTTGTTGCATTCTGGTTGCTCCAATTCTTTTTATCGCCCGTGTGCTGCATAGACTGATAATACGCTTACACTTTGTAATGGTGGTGAAAGAACGTAGTTTCTATTGGGCTGTGGTGTTGAAGGTTATATAAGGAAGTGATACTTGATGTATCTCCCTCTGTACATGTGTGTGTGTGTGTGTAGTTAGTGTCCACTATTCAGCATCTGTCTGTATATATTTCCGCTCTTGGGAATTTCAGGTTGTGGTTACTTTGGATTCATTTGGTCAGTAAGAATTGAGGAGATTGGGTTCAAGGGTTATGTGAATGAGATGATAGTTGGATTAATAGGTGTTTGCATTCATTTGTTTGATACATATTTGAACTGAGTGTCCCGAGAGAAATATATGCTTCATGTTGCGAGTTTGTTGTTTGATGCCTATACATGATTTAGATGATCGAACAATGTTCTTTTAATGTCTTTAGAATGTCCGGATTATCATATAACTTCAGTATCAAGTTTCTTATTCATTTACGCTGTTGGGATAACAGGAATTGTCTTTTCTTAAGAATTGGAATACAGTGCATGCAAATCACTGTGCTTTTCTTCATTTATTGGCTATTCTCCAGGAATGCACCTTCTGGGTTTCTTATGTAGAATTATTCAGTATTCTTCATATATTTACATTAATATTTTAAAGTGGGATCTCTGCATTAATTTCTTAGACTATGAACTGATATCCATTGTTCAAATAAATTCAGGACAGTTTTACACCATTTATTTTTGCTTCTATTTATATCTATAGGTTCTTGCTCGGTTTACTTAAAACATTTATTACTGAGAAAAACGACTTTGTTTGACCCGGCAGTGCTTTTTTCCGAGGTAACCATTTTATATGGTGCTGGCCGCAATTTTTTTTTTACACGACTTAGTTCTTGAGATTTTTTTTATTCGTTCAAAATATACTCGGTTTTATTAGGACTTAAATTTAACATAATACCCATCTATCAAAGTACTTTTATTAATGATAAAAACTGTAACAAAAAATAAATAAATGAGGTTCACACAATTTTTAATAATAAACAAACATCAGTCATACACGCACATCATTTAGTTTAAGTAAATTACTTCATATAAAGAAAAAAATGAACTGGACGAACTGTTTACAACAGTATTACAATGGGCCTATTTTGAACGAATGTGTTGCCCGTATACTTAATTGATAAAATAAATAGATTATTTTGGCCCAGCTTTTTGCCATTGCCCCAAGAGGTACTAATCTTTTTCGTAATTAAAAAACCTAATTGCAGGCTACAAACAAAATTCCCAAAAAAAAAAAATCCCTTCAACAATAGCAAGAGGCGCTAATAATTGCGCTAGGGGTTTTGCACCTGTTGCTTAGTGTATGGTTGTTCACGTCTTCTGTGTGCTTGATTGTCGCCGTGTATTACTGAAGATGGCTGCACAAAATCGTGGGAGGAGTGGCCTCTGTCAGTTCTTTTCCTGTAGAAGAAAGTATGGACTGATTTATTCTTTTCGTCTTTTGCCTTTCAATCACAGTGTATGTGTGTACGTACATGTGTGTTGACGTTATATATATTGAATAAATGTAAATATATGTTATTTAAAGGTATTTTCTTTTATTTACATCCTTCAATCAAGCTTTGTTTCTTCGGCTTCTTCATTTTCGCCTTCGGTTAGTTTTCTTCCATTATGCTTTCAAATGTTTTTTTCTTTACATGTAAGATTGACCTCGGCTGTATGGTGCTCTGTCTTGGTCTATCTTTTTCATGGAGAATTAAAGTTAATGTTATTTTAGAGCTAAAACTGCTACATCAAATTCCCCACTCATCTATACTAAATAGTAAATACCAACATGAAAATGTTCTCCGTTTAGTTAGATTTTTTATTATTCATTATTATGCATTTGGCATAATGGTTGTATACGCCTATGTTTTTCAGTTACAATAAATGAATAACGGGGCTCACTATAAGATTGTCTTCGTCTTTACTTAAAAGAAACCATCTTTTCAGAAGAACAACTTTATGTTTTAAAATCTCAATAAAAAATAGGTACAACGATTAACATTCTTATAAGACCGCCATTTGCCAAAGCGGATAGGATAGGCTAGCCAAAACATATCCTTTCTGCTAAAGTCAGACAACCACATTTATTGCTTACAAGTCGATAAAATAGAAGAATAGAAATAAAAAAGGCCATGTAGTCATTTTTTGTTGCTTTCTGATTATTTTTTAAAAATAAAAAAAATTATGAAGCAGGGAAAATGAATCAGCCAATGCTAAATCGGGGAGTGCAGCCACATCAGAGCCAATGGACTGCATTAATTCAGTTTGTGGAAAGGCTGCCCTCTATCAGCGACGAAGCTGACCCTTCAATCATCTATCAGCGATTTTTATTTGTTGATTCTGAGGTGCCTTTGTTTATACATATGTTGTGCACTATTTTATAAGACAATTATTATCGGTTATGTTTTAATGCATTAACCTTCTGTTTCTGTTCTTTTTTTCCCTTTCGACTTTTTTAAAGGGAACTAAAGTCTTGGCAGTGTCATGCGACAAGTATGTCCAAGCGACTTTAGTACAATTGATTCCATTCAGATGGTATTATATTCCCGAAGCTATCTTAAAAAAAAGGAAACAAAGCAGTTCTGGAGGGAATTACACCTTCACATGTGTCATTAATGACAGTACACTGATACAACCGTTGGCAGCAAATGTACCAGAGCATCTGCCTGCTAATATTGAAATACAAGAATTCCATGCTCTGCACCGATTTGCTGACTCAGATGTTTTGCATAGTAATGACGTCAATTACTTCTTTTAAAGAACTAGCAAAAATTACATATTTTTCATGTGCAGTATGATAGTTGGTTTTAATAGATATTGCCCTACTTGTGTAACAGTTGTACTTTTTTTTTTGTAGATGTCCTGGGTGTTGTTGTACGCACTTTTCCTGCAAGACAGATTACCTTACCTTTAGTTGCGAGAGATATTGTGCTGCTTAATAATGAGTATGTTTTAGATATTAGCTGATCAGTGTTGTTTTGTTAGAAAATCAACATTCTAATACTCTTTTTATTTGTTTTTTGTATAGGAGAATGCCAATGCTATTGACCCTTCGGAATAAATTCGCTACCACAGAAGGAACGCATTTGGCCAATGGCATACATGAAGGAAATGTCATTATTGCCATGAGGGTTAAGGTGACAACCCTACATGGTATGTTATTTAGTAAATTAATGTAGCACTTTTTTTTAAAAAAAAATGGCAAATTGTATAAATATTTACGTATTTTACCTAGGTATATCGTTGTCCACAAGGACACAGAGCACTATACTCATTAACCCTCCAACACCTGAGGTGGCCACGCTTAAACAATGGTACATCTACTCAACAATTTAAGGTCAACAGTTGTTCACAATACTGCTCTCATTAATATATTTTATAAGTTTAATTCATGAATAGGTACCTGCAGAACAAGCTTCAGATGTTGCGCCTCATTTTTTCTGCTGCATATAAAGACACTTCCATACTCCTGCCACGTCCACAGCCTACAAATATCACCACAATTCGTGCAATGCTAGATGATATCAGCAACGTGCATAATTTTCACCAACAAACAACATCTATTAATTATCTTGATTTTTTTCTAAACATGATGCATTCTTTGGGATCCTAATTAAAACACTCATTTTGCTACAGATACCAACTGCTTGGATCCAGGGCTCCATTCGATTGGGTCATGTAGCACAATTCCTTTGGTTTGCAGCATGTCAAAATTGCGGGAAAAAAATCGAGGACAACCTAAGCGCCCGCCGTAGGTGCATCTATTGTAACCAGGATGGACGGGTTCAACCAAGGTAATGTTTACTTTAATGTGTTTTACACATATTCATTGCATTCTCAAACACTAACATTGGTCTCTCTAATTACAAACGAAAAAATTACTTAAAAACAAACAGGGTGAGAATCCCAGTGGACATAAACGATGGAACTGGAATAATCCCAGCTGTTGTTTTCGGACCGGATGCAGAACATTTGATCAATTACACTGGCCAACAATTGAAGGATATGAAGAAGATGGTAAGATCTATTTACAAATTTAAAAGGTGTTTTTTTTTTTTTTTTTTTTTTT